AAAAAGGGGAAAAAAAAAAAAAAAAAAAAAAAAAAAAAAAAAAAAAAAAAAAAAAAAAAAAAAAGTAATCTTAAGTTAATAGTCCATGTGAACTAGGGGAAATGATTTGAAGTATAAAAGTGCTGTACCTGTTTTTTTAGGGCATAGATTGTTCTGCTACTGTGTGATGACTGTTTTGTGAGATATTAACGGTGATTGAAATTGTGATATGGGCTAAATGTAATGCTATTTTATCTGTTATTCAGAGCATAAATTATTCATGGTAGGATGCTGGTTGATTATGGCATTATGCTGGAATACTGTGTTTTAGAAGGTGCTCTGTATATACACAGGTGGACAATTTATCAGGTCTTTAGCATGAAACAAACCGTGTGTGTGTGTGTGTGTGTGTGTGTGTGTGTGTTGAACACAATGTTTTACAATTTTAAAGCAGTTTAGAAGACTACCAGTGCCTCAATCACTATAATAAAACAAATTCTAAATACCTATAAATTTTGGTGTTTAATTTTGGGTTTTTTTAGAGCTCCACCTGCCCACTTGACTCACCAGGGCGCTGGTCTAGCTGTGCTTGTTTCCTTCCATCTCTTCCCCCCACTGCTTTGTGGCACTGAGTAATCCTGGTATGCCAGTGCCCCTCACTCCTGACCCAGAGCACCCCCCCATCCACCCAGCTCTGCCAGGGAGGGCTCCCAACTGCCAGGGCGACCAGGGCCAGGGACCCAGATCTGCAGCTCTCCCCCTTCCAGTAATGCCCAAGCCCCTGTGGGAGGTGGTAGCTGCTGCAGCTGCAGTAAAGAATGGAGCCCGGCTCCCCTTCCCTCACAGGCAGCACAGCTGGAGTGGAGCCCTTTGGGGATGGGCTGCCCACTGTGGGCTCAGGCTCCCCGCCCTTCTGCTCTCCCCACAGGAGCCTCCATGGCCCAGTGGGGCCGGATCCAGCATGACAAGGCAGAGCAGGGTGGGGAAGCTTGGTTCTACCCCTAGGAGCTTTGAACTACTATGTATGTAGCATTCCCTGCCTGGTGCCTTCTTCCTGCTCCCTCCCAACCTCTTGCAAGCTGGAAATCTGCTAGTCTACAAGGGAAACCTGCTGTTCCCCCTATTTTTCTCCACAAACAGAGAAATTCTGCATTTTACCACATTTTTTTCATGGCAAACGGGAAACCGGGATCCTTGGAGCGAAGTAATATGGAATGAAGATGGGTTATAGCAGTGGCCTAGTGGGCCATATTAGTAGTGTAAGGCTGGATTGGGCCTTGGGACATGGCACCAGCCTCTCCCTGTGCTCTGGGATTTGGTCCCAGTGGTCTGACACTGTCCTCTTCCTCCAGGATTGGGTACCAGGAGCCTGGTACAGCTCTCTGTGTGCCACAGTTGGATCCTGGGGCCCAGAGGCACCACCTCCCAATTCCTGCATGCTGGGATTGGGTCCTGGGGGCCTGGCACTGCTTCATCCTGGCCTCTCACATTAGGATTGGGCCTATGGCCTGGTGTGGCCCCTGCCTGCTGGATCTAGGGTATAAGGCCAGGGTCTCTCCATGGGTCCCGAGATGGGTCCAGGAAGAGGAGAGTAGTGCCACTGCTCCCCTGCTACCAAATTTCCAGACCCATGGGGAGTCTTGGGGGCCAGATGACATGGATAAATTTGGATTGGGAATCAGAAGAATGTTTTAACCATTAGAGTGATGATTTTTGACCAGGGTGCCACAGGAAGTATAAGGAAACAAGTGAAGTGTGAGGAGATAAGCAGACAAGGGTAGGCTCAGGCTCTCCCTGTCTGCTGCTCACCTGCGCAGAATACCCCCTTTGCAAGGAGGTAAATATTGTCTTAAGATACTTTCTTAAATGGGATGCTGCTCAATTCATAAAAGTTATGTAGGGGTGCCTTAAGTATGACAAGGAGTGTCCATAGTTTCTGCAGAGTTTCAGAACCACTATAGTACAAGCAATGAGTTTCTGCAATGAGTAATGAAGACCAAAACTAACTGATTTTAAAATGAAAGATGATCAGTTACTAAACGGCTTATATTGGGGTGGGCAATTATTTCAGGTAGAGGGCTGCTAACCGAGTTTTGGCAAGCTGTTGAGGGCCGCATGAATATCTCTGTCTCTTGATCTCTGTCTTGGGACTGGAGTCCTGCCCCTAACCTCTGACCTTTGCCACTGGAAGTCCGTTCCATTGCCCCTGGAAGTACTCCTTTGGGCAGAGGCAACCCAAGCAGGGTGCGGGGCTCGGGGCAAATCAGCCCATGTGGGGCCCTGCCCCCACTCTGATCCCAGACCCAAAGAAGCTGCCACCGCCACTGTCAGTGAGGGTGGGGTAGTGAGCGGCTGGACATGGAGCTGCCACTGCTTCACCTGGCTCCGTGGGGCTCCCCAAAGCCCTGATTCACCCCCCACCCCAGGGATGGCCCTGCCTTTGGGAAAGAGGGTTTGCCATCTTAATGGGGAAAAAACCAAATTATATACTAAAAACCAGATGCCCATAATGATATATTTTAATTTAATTAAAAATATATATTTTTGTCCTCTTTTGTGTGTGTTTGTGCTGTATATACAGAAATGATTGCATAATAGCTGAAAATACAGTCTTACTTGTATATTGTGTGGGGTGTGCAGGAGGGGTACAGGTTGGTGGGTGTGGGGTTTGTGGGAATGTGTGTGTGTGTGTGGGTATGGTATTGTGGGTATAGGAGCCACATGGTGCAGAGTGGCCACCAGGTAGGCAGGAAAGCGGGGAAAGCGGAGGCAGGGGACAGTGGAAGTGAGCAGCATGCAGGAGCGCAGAGCCCATGCCAGAATCCAGGGCCAGTGCCAGCAGGCCCCAGAGTGTGGCAGCAGGAATCCAGGGCGTGGGCTGGCAAGGGTCTATGGAGCTGGGCTGGGCTGTGCCAGCAGGGAGAGAGGGGTACTCGCCCAGCTCCATAGAGCCCCTCCACCTCCCGCTTCCAACGCTCCCTGGTGCAGCCGCTCACAGCCCACGAGGCTGCCTATGCCTGCTTTCCACTGCCACCGCTGCTCCATGGGGCAGCCCAAAGGCAGTGGTGACACAGCAGAGATGCAGAACATCCCCTTAGTGCCTCTGGGTGGCTGCACCAGGAAGCACTAGCTGTGTTGGGGGGCACTATGAATTAATATTCATCTGCCCCTGGCTTTTTGTCAAAGATGAAAGGAGAAAAGCCTTTCTCCCAGCACAGAGTGCACAGTCATTCAAGGGATTTCTTGTGGAAGAGAAGTGGCTTTTTCTCGCTTCTGATCAGGAAGATCTCTCCCCTCCTGCATTAACTTGAATGGCTGTATGCTTCTCTCATGTTGAGGACACCCAGTATCTCACAGTCCTTTGCTCTCTTACCCTTCCTCCAATGGAGCAAGAGGGTGGGAATCACTGGATCCCTTATAGTCCACTGAAGGCGAGCTGTCAGGGAGCCCTTTGGAGACACAATGCCCTCCCAGCCACTGAACTGATCTGGGCTCTGGCACAGACCAGGAGGTGGATATGCCTGGGACTGGAACTCTCTTGGAGCCCCAGGAGGATTTCAGCCTCAGGAGAATGCCTCCTTGCCTGTCCTGCCAGTTACCTGATTGGTGAAACAGGTGGGGAGGGGGTGTCCTCCCACAGTGGGAAACATCCCAAACCAAGATCTATATAAGGGAAGATGGAGGGAGGCATCCCCCAGGCTGGAACAGTCTAGGGAATAATCAAGCCCTGGGGATTTGCCTTCTGTCCCTGCTCAGACTGCAGAACTGGTCTTTGCACAGGCAATGGACACTACACACAGTGGAACCCATCCCCCTGTGGGATGGATCCAGCTGCACTGCCTCTGCCTACTGCTCCTTGTACCCTTTCTGGGTGACCCAGAGAGGTGCATGGAGTGGGACCATCTCCAGCAGCAGGTGGGATCCTCCTGGGTTTCTGGTTCCTGCTGCAGGAGAATGGTCCAGAGGCCCAGGACAGTTCCAGCCATGGGAGAATGCCCCTTGCTCTGTGTACTGCCACTGAAGTCTCTAAAAGACCTCATTTTTAAGGGAGAATACAAAGCTAGAAATGAGGGTCTTTCATATGGAGCAGAGAACAGAATTTGTCTCAAGAGGCAAAGCGATTATATTAGGGATGTGAATGGTTAAACATGTAAATACTTAAATGTTCATATATTGATTACCAGTATACCTTGCCAGTTATCACTTAGTGCAGGGCAGAGAGCAGTTTTGTGGGGAAGAGAAGCGGCATGGTGCCCCTGAAGGGGTCAGGGCAGGCCAGAAAGAGAGGAAGAGAGGCACAAGGAGGAGAGGGGGAGGGAGGACTAGTACCTCATGCAACGGGGAGTCGTGAGGGACCCAATCCTTATGGCAGAGCAACCCCAGCCGCTTCCCTACCGTTCACCCTGAAGCATGTGTGCAGCCACTGCCGGCAATGAGCTGGGCTGAGGCTCCATGGACAGCCCCCGGGTAGCCGTGTGCGGGCAGCAGCAGTGAGTGAGGGGCTTTCCCAGCCTGCTGCTGCTGCCAGTACACAGCTGCCAAGGGAAGAAGGGGGGCAGCTGCAGGCAGCAGCAGCAAGCCCCACCACAGCCCCGTAAAGCCACAGGCGGCAACAGCACGCAAGGGGCTTTCCTAGCTTGCTGCTGCTGCTGCCGCCCGGAGAACAAGTGAG